GTCACTAAGGGCTGCAGCTGTTTTCAAGTTAGTTCACCTTGGGATGCTTTTCCAGTTAAAGATTATGTCAAATTCTGACAGAATTTATTTTGCACTCTCTAGGAGAACTGGACATTATCTTGACAAAAACACTATATTTTGAATATCCAAAATTGCAATCCAATATCTCTACGTTTTATGTAATTTTAATATCATTAAAGCTCCAATGCAACCAGCAAGCTTTTATGAGACAAATTATTCTTTTTTAAAAATAAGCAAATAAAAAGTCACTTCCAATACATTCAATGTCTCTTATAAATGTATCTTTGAGGACTACAGCAAATGTAAGAGATCATTTCACACTTCCCAAATACTGCTAAAAATTAGAGGGCACCAGCCAGTACACCCAAATGTACAAAACCTTTTTAATTTTCAGAACACCTAACCGAGAAATTATAATAAAACAAGTGCCACATATGTCACCAATGTTCTAAATTCACTGATTTTTTCACAGCTCCCCAACCCTGCTGTGATGCTGATCACAAACAGAAGTTCAAGAGGTACTTGTCTCACTTACACAAATGATTTCAGTATTGCAGAAATTCTCCTGCTACTCGGTAATTCAGCTGTTGGCTTGACTACACGAAGTACTGACACGAAAATGTATGTGGGCAAGGAAGAAGAATGCTTTCCTTCAGTGCTTCTGTAAGTTGAAACTTTTTTTTAATTACATTTGAACTGATATTTGAAGATGATTCAATCTGTCCAAATATGAAATAGCCAAAAGTAAAGGAAAATGTACCCCACAGAAGAAACTGAAAAAATGTACCCCACTGAAGAAATCCTGTGAGGTTACAGCATGCCTACAGTTCAAATCCAAGTTTGTACCAAAATAAAGGTAAGACTAGAATTTTTTATTTTTCAGATTTTTTATTTTATTCATTTGGGAGAAGGGGAGGAGATATTTTCTGTATAAAATCCTCAGCCCTTTGCAATGTCCTACATATTGGGCTGTCAAGAAGAAACAGTTTCCACTCTGCCTGCAAAAGTTTCCTGAGGGCAGAATAATGGATTTAGTGTGAAAAAGTGGGATCTTCAGATTACAAAATTTAAAGATGTCCAATGTTTTAAATTTTAATGGTGTTACACATTTGAGTCTGCCCCTACTGCCTTGTCAAAGTCAGGACTACAATAATCCACAATGATGCACAATGAAGAATATACATCACTCATATATCAAATCCTTTTGGTAACACTTTGATCAATATAAGACAATTTAATTAAATCTGGTTCCAGAAAATTTTAGTGTTTTCATGTGCAAAGACACACCTCAGATACGTCCAACTCCTCCAGCAGTAACTGTACTTAAAAATAAATCCTTAGATAACTCCCTGGAACAGCTCTAGTCCTCAGGCCAGGGCTTGCAGTGAGGAGGGGCAAAAACGAAGTAGAAAATGCCTCATCAGCAGAAATCCCAGACCAAATTTCTCCTTTTGTTGCCCAGAGAGCCATTACAGTTCTTACTCTCATTGAGAAGAGGGTTTTCTTTGCAGGAAGAAAAGGATACTGCTTCTTCAAAAACCACCATTCAAATACACACAATGGCTCTAGAGTTGCTCTCATGCCTTCCCCCTGAAGTCATGTGTAGTTGTGGGGATGCTGTTTACTCACAGTATGGAACTTTCCTTCCAACATCTATTTGCTAAATGCAATTACCACATCCCCTTGCACTTCCTGTCACTAACGATGAGTGTCAAATAGGCTGCAAAAGCAAGAACAACACTTAGACCTACCAAATTCAAAGCCATACTGAATTCTCTCTTACAGCCCCCTAGCCTGAGTTTTCTCCTAGAATGCTGACTGCCAAAATGAGATGAACAAAGAGAAGGCAAGAGCACAGAGCATGGAAAACAATGTTTTAGATGAAGACCTCAGGGTAGCTCACCAGTCCCACAGGAAGAGGACTGGGATTTGCCAGGCATTGCATTTCTCCCACTTCTATCCCTGGCACTGCCCAGACCTCGGGAAGCTTACATAAAAATTCTGACAATTTATTCCTCATCTGCAGAAAACTGGCTGCATGTTCATGTACAAAACACATGTGCCAGGTGTGATTGTACCCTTCACCAACTTCAACTAGCACACATCCTTCCATGGAAAGATGGAATACAGCAGTCCCTGGATCAAACCTTGTAAAGTCGGGTGGCAAAACAATGGCACAGCTGTGCTGAAATGTTGGTACAGATGTTTTTGACACTGCTCTATCCCAGCGGGTGAAGGAGGGAGGAGATGCCCTACAAAGAGCTTTGGCCACCGTAAGTGGAAAAGGAAGAACGGGATAATTTTCCTCCTGTCATCCCAGACGCTGCCTCTCCTCCTTTCATGCTTGCCTGCCATCCATGAGACCACTTCAGTGATCAGTTCTGGCCATCAACAAATCCTCACACAGGCTGCTGTGCACCATTGGCATTTGTTGGGATAGATCCAGGGCATATCAAAAGCATCTCTGCATCCATCACTGACTCCAAAGGGCTCTGGAAGCTGTGGAGAGGGGCATCTTTGCACTATTATTTAACCTCTGTCTAATCCAAACTAAGGTTGGGAGACAGCCTCATGAAGGCTTCTTTCAGGATGCTGTCTGCAAAGCAGGGTAGGGAAAAGGAGAATCTCAGTCTGCTGCACACCCTAGTTAATTGTTTACAAGCTTGACAAAATGTACTGCACCAAATCTTTACACACATTTGGTGACAAATGTCAGACTGTAATGACACCTCTTATAATATAATAAAGAATCATCCAGAAAGCTGCCTGCATTATTTGGGAGAGGGACTCAGATTTGATAAGTGGATCAAAATTAGTTTAATGATTCCCTATTTAGCATTTAAATCCACTCATAATGTGACATTGTACTTCCAATTAGGGAATGAAAATGTTGATTAAACATTTCTGTCATTTCAGATTAGACATCACATGCTATCTCCTTATTATTAAAACTTTCATATTTTGAACATAAAAAAGAATTTGTAGAGTCAGGCACAGGGTTTAAGTTTTTATAATGAGCCATTCATCTTCAGGTCAGGTTCCATAATAACTAACTGCTATGAGTTAGTTCAGTGGGAGGAAAATGAAACGAGAAAAAAATGGAAATTAGAATAACGGCTGAAATTGTGTCATTGTTGTACAGACTGAAGCATGATGGTATTTAAAGTGCCCAAACTCCTTGTGACACCTCATTTCTACCTCTGCCACCACAATTTCATGAAGGCACACTGCAGAGTAGGCAGTAAATACCTACTGGCAGGGCATCTGACATGACAATCAAGGCCCAGCATTATTTTTTTATGAGAAAATATCTCAAAAACTTTTAATCAGAGGACAAGATTCCAGTGGGGGAGACAGCACATTCTGGGGAACAGGCCTATGATAATTTTTTACTGACTCTTTTCCTATTATGTTCAGCTAGCATGGCTGCTGCTGGATTGTTCTTCCACAGAAAAACATTGTCAGGAAAGCAGGCAACATTATTTTTAGCTGTCCTGCTTTTCACAGCAACAGCAAGGTGTCACACTGTTAATAAATGCTCATGGTTGCTTCAAAGCAACAAAAATAGGGTCTGCCCTAACCCAGGTAATCCAGCACAGGGCTTGGTGTCTGGGGCAGCTCCTCTGAAAAAAAAAAAAAAAGGGAAAAAAAAAAAAAAAAAAAGCACTTACTTTGGTCTCAAAAGCACAGCAGTGGGAAAAGAACAACACCTCCAGAATGCGAGATTTACAGGGACTTTTCAGATGGAATGGCTACTATCAATCATCTCTGCACTCCCAGCAGGAAATTAGATTTCTCGTTGTTTAATGCTACAGTGCTTGACACAAGTCTATGAATTTGTAGTCCCAGTAGTGCTGCATTAAAAATCTGTACTGTGGACAAAGAGGGGAAAAATGTAGCAGAGAGAACATCTTTTCAGACACTACCTCTCTGGTTTTGACTGATTTTTAATTTAATATTGTGTTTTAATCAGCAAACCAACTATGTGAAAGGACAAGCAATGTACATTTGTGGAGCAAACACTCCTCATGTTAGTCTTGTCTACAGGAGGAACAATTTATTTCACTGTCACAAGTTGCCAACCAGGCCCATCACTCATTTCTTTAGAAGACTAAAAGTCTTCAGAGCTGCTTGTTTAAGCAATACATTTGAGACTTACCATTCCTGATTGCTTTCATAGGGTGTTTTTCTGACCACGTTTCTGCTTTTCACTCATCTTTACCCTTTCTTTCTCTAGCTGCTAGAATAAAGCAACGACCCATTGTCTCCATCAGAATAACAATTAATCCTTTGACCATTCCTGGCACTTTTCTTATGGAAGAGTTCAAGTTGCCTCAGAACTTGGTCAAAGAGTGAGCATTCCATCCAAGCTCCATAAAACAGGTGGCTCTGAAGGTGGTTATTTACAGTCCGTTATCTCCTTTTTACCATCTAAATCTGATGGAAACTTTCATCCCCCCTGGAAACATAGTCACTTCACTTGCCAGGAAAACTGTCCCAGCCTTATAAACACCAGCTGAACAATCATGGATTTGAATAATGAATGTTGGCCAGTCTATCAGTGTTAGACTAAGTAAAATAAGAACCACAAACTGCTATCTGTATGGATTAAAATAATAAATTAATAAATAAAAACCCCACCACACCAACTGCTTTTAATGAACACATGGAGCATTAACTGCAGATTCACTGCTAGACAATTCTCAACCCTTGTGCTAGCCAAGCCTCTCCATCACACTTAAAGGTCAGGCATGCCTCATCTACATTTTATGTTCCACCTGAACTGAAATCAGAGCTGAGTGCTGCTTACCAAGGACTTTTTTCAGGGGGATCTGATGGCACTGAGTATGAAGATGGAAATCTATGTGATCAACTAAGACCGCATCCTTTGCTACAAATAAAATGGCTAACAAAGTACTTAATTTCTGCAGGGAAGAGCTGCCTTCTATGTCAGCCTGGCAGCTGTGTGCTGCACTCACCTCAACAAAGATGAAGCAGGGGATGATGGAATAACTTCTCTGGGTATTGTTTCCTAAAGCCATTTCTCATCACACTTCTTGGGGAGGCACTCTTCAGAACTTTATATCCTGAAAAAGAAAAGACAGAGGTATTTCAGTATATTTCACATTTTTACAAACTCCAAAATAAGGTTCATAACACAGAGCACCGACCTAATACACTAAGGACACAGACTAGTAAGAACTTCAAGGTCTACTGTGTACAAAACACCCTGAGAAAGGTCTCCCTTTGCAACACAAAAGAAGAGACAGACATAGATACATCACATACAGATTGAAGGGTGATAAGGAATACAATAGTTTTCCTTAAATACAATCCACTCCCAAGCAAAAGATTCTTCCTCCAAATTGTAAAATCACACTTTCAGTCTACCAACCTGCCTACAGTGTGTTTTAAACCAGGAGATTCTGGTAATTGACTTTTAAACTTGCACTTTGAGAGATATGCTTACAGTACACTGACTGTAGACATCAGATCAGAATGTTTATCTGTATAGACCTGCTCACGATGACAACATGTGCTATGCACAAAAACACTCTACCCATAACAAACAAGTACAACGAAAATGCAGTGAAGACCTGGGCCTTTTCTGCAGAGCCTTTCTGACCTGACAGGAATTCATTCATTAACACACCAAACTCTACCCACTTAGCATTACTTCAGGCTACTGGCTATCCTAATTAACATAACCCTATAACACTGTGCTAGGACACTCTTTTTGCATGAAAAGTATAAAAAAGAGAAAAGAAGATTAACACAAAGAAATTTTACAGCCAAGTGTGTGTCTTTTTCTGCACGCATGAGGCAACACATCAAGAAACTAAGTCAGGTTTAAATGCCGTTACAGGGAGATACAGACCAGGAGAGAAGCTGGAAAAGCAGTGTGTAGTCCACAGCTGCCAGGTGCAGGATTGCACAAAGCATGAGACACAGGAGAGAATCCAAATCCTCTGCTATCAATTTTAACCCAAGCACAAGAAGCAAGAACACAGATTCAGGTGGGTCCAGTCTCACTTCCAACACTCACAAAGAAACTCTGCCCTGATGACAAGCACCTCCATGTGTCAGGGCCAGGGAGGAGGAGGGAGATGGAAACTGATGCATTTTGCAGATGCTTTGCACAGCATCTTCCTGTGTCTCTTTGACCTCACTGGCACCTGGGTGGCAATTCAAGCCCAGGCATATGGAGCCAGTGAGGTTCACAAAGGGGTCAGTGCTTTCTAACCAGCTCTGAGTAGGGTTACTGGGAGAAATACTATGATCAGCACAAGTGAGTTCACCGGAGGTTATGATGGTGGAGCTGGACCAGCTGCCAGTGCTTGCCACCTGCACCATGATGCAGGCTCTTGTCTCACCACCTATGAACTACTTAATGTATTCCTCATCTTTGCTCCTCACAGTCTGACCACAGTTGTAAAATACACAATGTATATGATGGATTTAGGCACAGAAGGGCTACTGTGACTTCAGTGAGGCCACATTTTGTGTCAAGAATAGCTTCTGAACTGCTAAGCATTGAGAAATACAGTTTCAGAGCAAACAAAATAGTCAGGAATGTCACCTGTGACCTACCTCAGATGCTCCCATCTTACACTGTATCCCATTTTAAAATACAAATATTCTCAAAACACCTCATTTTCCAAACAGACTTCAACTCTACTTATTAAATAAAATGGGGTTTATCTCAGAGGTTAGTGTCATTGCTTAAAAAAAGACAAGGTAATCCAACCCCATTTGGACTGTGGAAAAAATCCCAGCAATTCATTTTTTTAACAGCACTTTTAACACCCCCAGCTCTTGTGCCCTGTGGCTTGGCAAACATGGAACTTGGTGGAATAGCAGATTAAAGAGTCAGATCAGCTTACAGAGCATTAGTCAATGAAGGCTAGACTAAGGTTAACCAGACTAAGGTTAGAAATAACCAAGATTTTCCATACCACTATACTGTAACCCCAAGCTATGCCTTCAGTTGCAACTGATGTGTGTTCCTAACCAAAACAAAGGGTTGTAAGGTAATTCAAGAATTTAAATACCTTTCACAACAGATGACTGAAAACAACTGAACAAACTGGCAAAGAAACTGAGGGTTCATAGTCATATAAAAATGCCTGATTTAACACTGATTTTACAGATGTTTATGCCTGTTCCTTTAAGCTGATTGTGCACCACTGGTTTAAAAAACTGCACTGGCTATGGGAAAGCATTTTACATGCCAGCTTCTCTCCTATGTGACGACACATTTGTGTCAGGCTGAAGTAGGAAAAGACCAAATGGTTGCATGATCAACTAATTTCCACATTGTGGGAAAACTCTCAGCTGCTAGTGCTTGGTCTTTTCATCAGGTTCCTTGACAAAAGAGTAAAGGGAAGCAAAGGTGCAGTCTTGGTGGGAGCATCATCTTTTGTCTCTTTTCAGCTGGCAATGACTCCTCTAGGGATACTGACAGCAAAACACAGATTACAGTAAACCCCAGATGCTTCAGCCTGCAGAGCAGTCAGAGATAACCCAGTTTTGCTCAAAGGACCATAATAAGATGTAAAAGAAGTTTTGGTAAAAATCTTGTTCTCTAATCCATGTATATCTCTTCACATTGAATAAACTTTCGGAGTCCAAAGCCTCTGACCAAAGTAATGGCAAGTAAAAGCTATAACATTAGCATCAGCCTTCTCATTTATTATTTCTATTTTTATCAACTTGTCTGAATTGCTAAGGAACTCATGTGAGCAAAACTGTAAGAGTCTTTTTGGATCCCCATAGCCGTGACTTTTTCAGGCCTGGTATGTTATCACAGCATGAGAGCAGACCTGGTCAAGCCTATTCTAACTAATTAGGGGCCACTGTAGAGGGAATATTAATAATATGAAGCTTTGGTGTTATGAGGTGCTTCCACTCTTAAAACAATACATATATTGTATAATGCAATATTTGTGAATTAATTAAAATCAGTTCTCCTCTTGCTCAATTTACCTCACCTGTGCATTTGCAGAAAGCCCCATATCTACAGCATAGGAGGTTATTGCCTGGCATTTCCTGGGAGAACAAGTGGAGACAGAGAATATAAATAAGGGAATTGAAAACTGAATGAAAAGGACAGCAAGGAAAAAGAGAATTCAAGCTGAAGTGATTTTCTTGCCGCAGGGGTCTATCCAGTGGAATGGCTTTCAGAATGCCCCATTCAGGTATGTTCTAAAGCCTTTTATGTGAGCATGTGGCTGACAGCAAGAAGGACATATCTAGGACAAACTAGCATTCACTGAGCCTTTATAGTCTAAATTCCTGCAGCAGACACAGCACATTCAACTGTTGTTCTGTGTGACCAGTCATCCAACCAGTTAATTTGTGGTCTATTCCTCTGGAGACAGTGGTCAAACCTATGTTTTTTAAGCCATGTCCTGCATAGGAAAGAAGAGAAGATGAACAATGTATTTCACATATTGCCACAGTGGATGTCTGGGCTTCTGTGGAAAATACTCAAACCAACAATCCAGACATAATTACAGGCCCTGTTCATCACAGTTTTCAACCACATTTCAGTTAATCAGAATCAATGCTTATTTGTTTTGCTGTAGCTGAGAGACCACCAGCCTGAAATCCAGGAGCTGCTGCACAAACCACAGCAGCAGCAAAGTCACTGGCACATGTGGGACTGCCCCTCACAGCAGAATCCCATATCTTCCCTGACCAGAGGTGAGGAGGGTAACCACTGGTCATTTGGAACCAGGATGTGATGCAAACACAAACTAAAAAAAAAAGGATTTCTGTCTCTTAGTTTCATGATCTTTTCAGTAGCAGCTAAGATGGTTCCAAAACAGGGTGTAAATATTACATTAGAAGGAACAACAACTATTTGTGTAACAATGTAAAAGATACAAACATCAGTATTTCCTTATGCAAATTACTTGAATATTTCTGCACGGATGACTCAGACGTGTGTGAGGGAGAGAAAATGATGCATCTGACTCCATCATCAGAAGGCTAAATGAATTACTTTATTAGGCTATACGATATACATTGCATCTAAACTGAATCTGTCTTGCACTCACCCTTGCTCACAACTGCACAGAACTGCACTCATCCTCTGACTGTCTCGTGGCAGTCCCTGATAGGTCAAGGGAACAAAACATCCTCACTTTGGGTAAACAATCTCCATATTGCATTCTACTTTGGCACATCAAGCAAGGAAAGAATTATGTTTTTCCTTCTTCTCTGCTTGTCTCACAATTTTTCTCTGTTCAGAGGGCATGTGAATACCACATTTGAACCTTATGTTAGCAATTTGCAAACCTCTGTTGGCAATTGACTTCAAATTATAAAGATCTTTACTCTCATTAAAATATGAATTCTGTTTACAAGTAAAAAAAAACCAAACCTCTGCATCATTCCATCAACAATCAGTCTGCCCAACTGAAACAACTGGGTAATAATTGCTAACAATGATTATCCAATCTTTGGCAAATAACTGAAACTTTATAATCACTACATATTATACTATCTCTTACAGATCTCACTGTAAAGTGGGGTTCTCTATTTCCTGTGGGGGGAAACAGTTGAAGCAATTTTCCAAACATCATACAGTGACTCAATGTATAGGCTGAAGAAAGACACATTCTTCTCAGACTCCTGTCAGGCGCTCTGTCCACTTGACAATACAATCTCTGCACTTCAAACGTGTTTGCTAATTCCTGCAGAAGGACCACACAGTCCTCACTTTAGGAATACAGGTTTCTCTGACTGGAACCAGAAGAACACACACTGCAGCCTTACAAAATAAGGGCTGATCAAACATGCCCCGAGATGTGACAGCATCATCCTCTCTGTAACTTCACCTGGCATGTCCAAAGGCACCACCATATTATCCCCCTGCAACCTCTGTATGAGCATGCCTGCAATTCTGAACAGGTCACAACAGAAAAACAGAGGGTTAAAATTCCTTCCCCAGAGCACTCTTGCACATAAATCAAACCAATGCACAAAAAGGGGCCGAAGGAATAAAAGGTAAGATTTTACTGTAAACAACAATCACTAAATTCCAAGTACAGACTTCTTCACTGTTTTCAAAGTAATTGAA